AACCAACTGTTTTCAAGAACCAACTGTTTCAAGAAACAACTGTTTTCAAGAACCAACTGTTTTCAAGACCAGCTGTTTCAAACTGTTTTCAAGAACCAACTGTTTTCAAGAACCAACTGTTTTCAAGAACCAACTGTTTTCAAGAACCAACTGTTTTCAAGAACCAACTGTTTTCAAGAACCAACTGTTTTCAAGAACCAACTGTTTTCAAGAACCAACTGTTTTCAAGAACCAACTGTTTTCAAGAACCAACTGTTTTCAAGAACCAACTGTTTTCAAGAACCAACTGTTTTCAAGAACCAACTGTTTTCAAGAACCAACTGTTTTCAAGAACCAACTGTTTTCAAGAACCAACTGTTTTCAAGAACCAACTGTTTTCAAGAACCAACTGTTTTCAAGAACCAACTGTTTTCAAGAACCAACTGTTTTCAAGAACCAACTGTTTTCAAGAACCAACTGTTTTCAAGAACCAACTGTTTTCAAGAACCAACTGTTTTCAAACAACTGTTTTCAAGAACCAACTGTTTTCAAGAACCAACTGTTTTCAAGAACCAACTGTTTTCAAGAACCAACTGTTTTCAAGAACCAACTGTTTTCAAGAACCAACTGTTTTCAAGAACCAACTGTTTTCAAGAACCAACTGTTTTCAAGAACCAACTGTTTTCAAGAACCAACTGTTTTCAAGAACCAACTGTTTTCAAGAACCAACTGTTTCAAGAACCAAACTGTTTTCAAGAACCAACTGTTTTCAAGAACCAACTGTTTTCAAGAACCAACTGTTTTCAAGAACCAACTGTTTTCAAGAACAACTGTTTTCAAGAACAACTGTTTTCAAGAACCAACTGTTTTCAAGAACCAACTGTTTTCAAGAACCAACTGTTTTCAAGAACCAACTGTTTTCAAGAACCAACTGTTTTCAAGAACCAACTGTTTTCAAGAACCAACTGTTTTCAAGAACCAACTGTTTTCAAGAACCAACTGTTTTCAAGAACCAACTGTTTTCAAGAAACCAACTGTTTTCAAGAACCAACTGTTTTCAAGAATCAACTGTTTTCAAGAACCAACTGTTTTCAAGAACCAACTGTTTTCAAGAACCAACTGTTTTCAAGAACCAACTGTTTTTCAAGAACCAACTGTTTTCAAGAACCAACTGTTTTCAAGAACCAACTGTTTTCAAGAACCAACTGTTTTCAAGAACCAACTGTTTTCAAGAACCAACTGTTTTCAAGAACCAACTGTTTTTCAAGAACCAACTGTTTTCAAGAATCAACTGTTTTCAAGAACCAACTGTTTTCAAGAACCAACTGTTTTCAAGAACCAAACTGTTTTCAAGAACCAACTGTTTTCAAGAACCAACTGTTTCAAGAACCAACTGTTTTCAAAGAACAACTGTTTTCAAGAACCAACTGTTTTCAAGAACCAACTGTTTTCAAGAACCAACTGTTTTCAAGAACCAACTGTTTTCAAGAACCAACTGTTTTCAAGAACCAACTGTTTTTCAAGAACCAACCTGTTTCAAGAACCAACTGTTTTAAGAACCAACTGTTTTCAAGAACCAACTGTTTTCAAGAACCAACTGTTTTCAAGAATCAACTGTTTTCAAGAACCAACTGTTTTCAAGAACCAACTGTTTTCAAGAACCAACTGTTTTCAAGAACCAACTGTTTTCAAGAACCAACTGTTTCAAGAACCAACTGTTTTCAAGAACCAACTGTTTTCAAGAACCAACTGTTTTCAAGACCAACTGTTTTCAAGAACCAACTGTTTTCAGAACCAACTGTTTTCAAGAACCAACTGTTTTTCAAGAACCAACTGTTTTCAAGAACCAACTGTTTTCAAGAACCAACTGTTTTCAAGAACCAACTGTTTTCAAGAACCAACTGTTTTCAAGAACCAACTGTTTTCAAGAACCAACTGTTTTCAAGAACCAACTGTTTTCAAGAACCAACTGTTTTCAAGAACAACTGTTTTCAAGTAACAACTGTTTTCAAGAACCAACTGTTTTCAAGAACCAACTGTTTTCAAGAACCAACTGTTTTCAAGAACCAACTGTTTTCAAGAACCAACTGTTTTCAAGAACCAACTGTTTTTCAAGAACCAACTGTTTTCAAGAACCAACTGTTTTCAAGAACCAACTGTTTTCAAGAATCAACTGTTTTCAAGAACCAACTGTTTTCAAGAACCAACTGTTTTCAAGAACCAACTGTTTTCAAGAACCAACTGTTTTCAAGAACCAACTGTTTTCAAGAACCAACTGTTTTCAAGAATCAACTGTTTTCAAGAACCAACTGTTTTGAAGAACCAACTGTTTTCAAGAACCAACTGTTTTTCAAGAACCAACTGTTTTCAAGAACCAACTGTTTTCAAGAACCAACTGTTTTCAAGAACCAACTGTTTTCAAGAACCAACTGTTTTCAAGAACCAACTGTTTTCAAGAACCAACTGTTTTCAAGAACCAACTGTTTTCAAGAACCAAACTGTTTCAAGAACCAAACTGTTTTCAAGAACCAACTGTTTTCAAGAACCAACTGTTTTCAAGAACCAACTGTTTTCAAGAACCAACTGTTTTCAAGAACCAACTGTTTTCAAGAACCAACTGTTTTCAAGAACCAACTGTTTTCAAGAACCAACTGTTTTCAAGAACCAACTGTTTTCAAGAACCAACTGTTTCAAGAACCAACTGTTTTCAAGAACCAACTGTTTTCAAGAACCAACTGTTTTCAAATGTAACCAACTGTTTTCAAGAACCAACTGTTTTCAAGAACCAACTGTTTTTCAAGAACCAACTGTTTTCAAGAACCAACTGTTTTCAAGAACCAACTTTTTTCAAGAACCAACTGTTTTCAAGAACCAACTGTTTTCAAGAACCAACTGTTTTCAAGAACCAACTGTTTTCAAGAACCAACTGTTTTCAAGAACCAACTGTTTTCAAGAACCAACTGTTTTCAAGAACCAACTGTTTTCAAGAACCAACTGTTTTCAAGAACCAACTGTTTTCAAGAACCAACTGTTTTCAAGAACCAACTGTTTTCAAGAACCAACTGTTTTCAAGAAACCACTGTTTTCAAGAACCAACTGTTTTCAAGAACCAACTGTTTTCAAGAACCAACTGTTTTCAAGAACCAACTGTTTTCAAGAACCAACTGTTTTCAAGAACCAACTGTTTTCAAGAACCAACTGTTTTCAAGAACCAACTGTTTTCAAGAACCAACTGTTTTCAAGAACCAACTGTTTTCAAGAACCAACTGTTTTCAAGAACCAACTGTTTTCAAGAACCAACTGTTTTCAAGAACCAACTGTTTTCAAGAACCAACTGTTTTCAAGAACCAACTGTTTTCAAGAACCAACTGTTTTCAAGAACCAACTGTTTTCAAGAACCAACTGTTTTCAAGAACCAACTGTTTTCAAGAACCAACTGTTTTCAAGAACCAACTGTTTTCAAGAACCAACTGTTTTCAAGAACCAACTGTTTTCAAGAACCAACTGTTTTCAAGAACCAACTGTTTTCAAGAACCAACTGTTTTCAAGAACCAACTGTTTTCAAGAACCAACTGTTTCAAGAACCAACTGTTTTCAAGAACCAACTGTTTTCAAGAACCAACTGTTTTCAAGAACCAACTGTTTTCAAGAACCAACTGTTTTCAAGAACCAACTGTTTTCAAGAACCAACTGTTTTCAAGAACCAACTGTTTTCAAGAACCAACTGTTTTCAAGAACCAACTGTTTTCAAGAACCAACTGTTTTCAAGAACCAACTGTTTTCAAGAACCAACTGTTTTCAAGAACCAACTGTTTTCAAGAACCAACTGTTTTCAAGAACCAACTGTTTTCAAGAACCAACTGTTTTCAAGAACCAACTGTTTTCAAGAACCAACTGTTTTTCAAGAACCAACTGTTTTCAAGAACCAACTGTTTTCAAGAACCAACTGTTTTCAAGAACCAACTGTTTTCAAGAACCAACTGTTTTCAAGAACCAACTGTTTTCAAGAACCAACTGTTTTCAAGAACCAACTGTTTTCAAGAACCAACTGTTTTCAAGAACCAACTGTTTTCAAGAACCAACTGTTTTCAAGAACCAACTGTTTTCAAGAACCAACTGTTTTCAAGAACCAACTGTTTTCAAGAACCAACTGTTTTCAAGAACCAACTGTTTTCAAGAACCAACTGTTTTCAAGAACCAACTGTTTTCAAGAACCAACTGTTTTCAAGAACCAACTGTTTTCAAGAACCAACTGTTTTCAAGAACCAACTGTTTTCAAGAACCAACTGTTTTCAAGAACCAACTGTTTTCAAGAACCAACTGTTTTCAAGAACCAACTGTTTTCAAGAACCAACTGTTTTCAAGAACCAACTGTTTTCAAGAACCAACTGTTTTCAAGAACCAATTGTTTTCAAGAACCAACTGTTTTCAAGAACCAACTGTTTTCAAGAACCAACTGTTTTCAAGAACCAACTGTTTTCAAGAACCAATTGTTTTCAAGAACCAACTGTTTTCAAGAACCAACTGTTTTCAAGAACCAACTGTTTTCAAGAACCAACTGTTTTCAAGAACCAACTGTTTTCAAGAATCAACTCGAGCTCCAAGAAACTTTCCTTCGTCCCACTCTCCCCATCCAACTGCTTCCCTGCATCGCAGAGCGCCACTGGTGGTGGCACAGCAGTACCAGCAGGGGCAAGCCAGTCTGGCAAACAACTGCTTCCAGCCCACTGCCCCCCTCTCCTGCCCCGCCACTCCCTACTCCAACCCCACCACCCCTCCCAACTCCTCCATTTCATCCTCCTCCTCCTCTTTCTCCTCCTCCTCCTCTGCCTCCCTCTCACCCGCGTTCTCCCAGCGCACGCCAGCAGCATGCAGGGCGTTCTGCAGCATCACGGATAACGGCCCCTGCGACGGCCACGGCGCCTGTGTGCCGCCGCCCCAGGGCCCTGACTCCTCCCAGGGTTCTACATCCAACTTCTCGTGCGAGTGTGACGCGGGTTACAGTGCGTTTGACAGCGGTAATGGGTCGATACGCGTCATTCTCACCACCACCACGGTTCCTGGTCCAGGTGGGTGGGTCTCCTCTCCTCTCCTCTCCTCTCCTCTCCTCTCCTCTCTACACCTACAAAACTTCTGAAACCCTTTAAAGCTAGGCTGCAGGTGAGTGGGTTTCTGCACACCAGAACCACGTAAGGGGGTTGATTTGGGAAGATCCATCCAGCAGCACTGGCACACTTCCGCCTGAGCTGCTTGCTTCCTTGGTGGTGGTTCCCATGCCTTCCTCCTTTCCCCATCTCCTCCTCCTTTCCTCTTCACTTCCTCCTCTCTTCTTCTCTTCTCCTAATCTCCGCTTTAGCCCTTTCCACCACGCCTATCACCAGCAGCAGTGGCAGGCATTGCATTGGTCTGCTTGCTTTCTTTGAAGCGCCTCAGAGCTCCTCCTTCTCTCCTTCCCCAATTTTCCACACGCCTTTCTGTCCCCACCAGGTCTATCACCAGGAGCAGTGGCAGGCATCGCACTGGGCTGCTTCGTCGGGCTTGCTCTTCTTGCTGCAATCCTCGTGTGGTTCCTCCTCCCCAGACGCCGCCGTGAGTGGCCTTCAAACCCCTCAACCATCCTTCGTGAGAATTTCCTCAAGAGTGATTTCAACGCAGCCCTCGCTTGCCTGTTCCTCACTGAATGGCACGGCAAAGTAACCCTCAGCAAATAACAGTATGATGAGCTCTGTACCCCACTCACCACCGCATTTCCACCTTCTTCCTTCCTCCTCCTCTCCCCTGTTCCACCAGGCAAGTGGGGCGACCTGGACGTGTCTCACGTGTTCTCCCTGCAGCAGCTGCTGCAAGGCAAATGGGTTGAATTGGCTGGGGCGATTCTCAGGCCCCTCACAACTCAACTTCACTCCCCTTCCCTGTTCCCCCAATCGTACCAGGCAAGTGGGGCGACCTGGACGTGTGTCACGAGTTCAGCCTGCAGCAGCTCATGCAAGCCACGGACAACTGGGCTGATGCCAACCGGCTGGGGCGGGGGGGCTTTGCAACGGTGTACCTGGGGGTGTCGGCCCAAGGGGAGATGTGGGCTGTGAAGCGATGTAGAGTGATGACCAACGACTTTGAGAAAGAGGTGCGTGCATTGGTGGGAAGGCAGCAATAGCTGGTCTGAAGCATGTGAGCATGTGAGCATGTGAGCATGTGGTTCACAGGGGCGGTGGGTAACAGTTTGTGGGTAGTGCAGTTTGCTGGTCAAGGGGGGGAATGTGGGGTGTGAAGCAGTTATGCACATGTGGGGGCTATGGAACATAGCGCCAAGAGAATCTGGTGCAGCTGCTTGGGTTCTGTGTGGACATGCAGGTGGAGAGCGGGCGAGGGGGGCATTACAAGTGGAAACAAGGGGGTTACATCACATGCCTACTCCCTCCTCCCCATCCTCTCCCCTGCTTGCTATGCACAGGTGCGAGCCATGGCAACGCTGAGGCACGAGAACCTGGTGCGGCTGCTGGGGTTCTGTGTGGACATGCAGGTGGAGAGCGGACGGCAGGAGCAGGTGTTGGTGTACGAGTATGTGGGGAACGGCGACCTCAAGCACCACATCCACCACGCCAAGTGTGAGTTGCTAGTGTCGCACGCATGATAGTGTCGTGAACGCATTGGAAGAAAGAGTGTCTGCAGAGAGAGGCAGGCAGGAGCAGAGCAGGTGTTGGTGTACGAGTATGTGGGGAATGGCGACCTCAAGCACCACATCCACCATGCCAAGTGTGAGTTGCTGGTTGGGGGGGTTGAGCAGAGTGCTGAGCCAAGTGGTGCAAGCATGGTGGTATCTCGGTCCTGCATACATAGCGTGTGTGCGGAGAGCGGTCAACAGGAGCAGGTGCTGGTGTATGAGTATGTGGGCAAGGGCGACCTCAAGCACCACATCCATCACGCCAAGTGTGAGTGCTCAAGGTCCCTCTGTGCCATGGGTGCGTTCAATCGAGCGTGGTGCGAATCAAGTGTACGATGTGTGCATGATGTGACTGAGCATTCGCCTCACCACTTGTTGGTGCATGCAAACATATGCTAGTGCCACTGCCATCTGCAACGTTCACATCACATCACATCCTCCTACAACACCCTCTGCAGGCCCCCTGACCTTCCACCGGCGCTTGAGAATCGCCCTGGGAGCAGCGGAAGGGCCTGTTGTACCTGCACAGCTTCAGGGTGCCCATCGTGCACCGCGATGTGACCCCAGTGGGAAGGAGCAGCCCCTCATCCTCCTCTCTTTCTCCCCTGTCCACACTCCCCTCCAGGCCCCTTGACCTTCCACCAGCGCCTGAGAATAGCACTGGGAGCAGCGGAAGGGCTATCCTACCTACACAGCTTCAGCACGCCCATCGTGCACCGCGACGTGAAGCCCGCCAACATCCTCGTCACTGACTCACTGGCCGCCAAGCAACTCACCAAAGGGGGACGGCCAATTATTTCCCCCCATTCACCCCCCACATTCCCCCTTCACTCTGCACCCCACACCCCCCGAAACCCCCCTGCAGGCCCCCTCACCTTCCACCAGCGCCTGAGAATAGCACTGGGAGCAGCAGAAGGGCTATCCTATCTGCACAGCTTCAGCACGCCCATCGTGCACCGCGATGTGAAGCCCGCAAACATCCTCGTCACTGACTCGCTTGCCGCCAAGCTCGCTGACTTTGGGCTGCTCAAACAGCTCACTGAGGGGGACGGGGAGGGCGGTGCCACGAGGATCGCAGGCACGCCGGGATATGTGGATCCGGACTACAACCGCACACGGGTGGTGTCGCCCAAGACAGATGTCTACAGGTGGGTGGGTGGGTGGATGGGTGGGTGGGTGGATAGGTGGGTGGGGATGTGCCGTGTGCTAGTCTGTGGGTGGGAGACACTTGTTCAGTCGACTCAAAAAGACTTTGGGCTGCTCAAGCAGCTCACTGAAGGGGACGGGGAGGGGGGTGCCACTAGGATCGCAGGCACGCCGGGGTATGTGCACCCGGATTACAACCGCACACGGGTGGTGTCTCCCAAGACTGATGTGTACAGGTGGGTGGGTTGGTAGAGCCTGTGGCGTGTGCTTGTGGGTGGGTGGGAGATTCTTGTTCAGTCGATTCAGAGATGACTTGGGGCTGCTGAAGCAGCTCAGTGAAGGGGATGGGGACGGGGAGGGCAGTGCCACGAGGATTGCAGGCACCCCGGGGTATGTGGACAGGGACTACAATCGCACACAGGTGGTGTCCCCCAAGACAGACGTTTACAGGTGGGTGGGTGGATGGGCGAGTAGATGGGTGGGTGGATGAGCGAGTGGGTGGGTGGGTGGAAATCATTCAGATGCCTCGGAAAGGCTTTGGGCTGCTCAAGCAGGTAAAACAGGGGTGTGATTAACGAGGGTCCAAGCGCGCGACTTGGTCCACGCGAGCGCCTTGGTCCACGCGCGCGCCTTGGTCCACGCGCGCTCCTTGGTCTACGCGCGCGCCTTGGTCTGCGCGCGCGCCTTGGTCCACGCGCGCGCCACTAGGATCGCAGGCACGGCGGGGTATGAGGACCGGGATTACAACAGCACACGGGTGGTGTCCCCCAAGACCGACGTTTACAGGTGGGTGGGTGGATGTGCGGGTGTGTAAGTGGATGGAGATCATTCAGATGCCTCGGAAAGGCTTTGGGCTGCTCAAGCAGGTCACACAGGGGTGTGACTAACAAGGATTGCAGGCACGCCGGGGTATGTGGACCGGGACTACAATCAAGCACAGGTGGTTTCTCCCATGACTGATTTATACAGGTGGGTAGATGACGTGGAAAGGCTGGGCGCCTAAACAAATGTCAGATTCATTTTAACTGGACTGCCACCAGACTGCAACCGTTGCTGTACCATGGCCCCTCCGTGTGTCTGTTTTGCCCCCTGTGGCCCTACCTCCCGAGCAGCTTCGGAGTGGTGCTGCTGGAAATGCTGACAGGGCGGCCGGCAGTGATGAGCGAAGAAGACTACCACATCGCCACGTGGGTGAGTGCCCTCTCAGTCTCTCTCCCTCTGCTCCACACTGGTGCAGTGATTCCTAGGCTCTCCATGCCCTCTCATCTGTGAGCTCCTCTGTTCCAACTGTAAAGTTCGAACTAGCTGCACCTGCTGCAGTGATTTAGAACCTGCACAACCTTCAATCCCTCCCCACCACCAGGCGGCACAACGGGTGGAGGATTACGAGCTAGACCTTCGCAAAGACCCTTCGATGGAGGTTCCAGAGGACGCTATAGTGGAGTTTGCAGACGTTGCACTCGAGTGCCTTAAAATGCCGTGCGCTACCTGGTGCATCCCCTCCCCACCACCAGGCGGCCCAACGGGTGGCGGATTACGAGCTAGATCTGCTGAAAGACCCCTCGATGGAGGTTCCAGAGGATGCTATAGTGGATTTTGCAGACATTGCTCTCGACTGCCTCAAAATGCCTTGGACTTGCTCCATCCCCTCCCCACACCAGGCGGCCCAACGGGTGGCGGATTACGAGCTAGACCTGCTGAAAGACCCTTCTATGGAGGTTCCAGAGAACACTATGGTGGAGTTTGCAGACATTGCTCTCGACTGCCTCAAAATGCCTTGGACTTGCTCCATCCCCTCCCCACACCAGGCGGCCCAACGGGTGGCGGATTACGAGCTAGACCTGCTGAAAGACCCTTCTATGGAGGTTCCAGAGGATGCTATAGTGGAGTTTGCAGACATTGCTCTCGACTGCCTCAAAATGCCTTGGACTTGCTCCATCCCCTCCCCACACCAGGCGGCCCAACGGGTGGCGGATTACGAGCTAGACCTGCTGAAAGACCCTTCTATGGAGGTTCCAGAGGATGCTATAGTGGAGTTTGCAGACATTGCTCTTGACTGCCTGAAAATGCCGTGCACACGCCGCCCGGACATGAAGGCTGTAGCACACAGAATCGGCGATCTGATTCAGAAGTACTGTACTGGTAAAGGTGAGAGGGAGGCTGCTCCCGTTGAGCCTGTAACGAGAGCACTCGTTAGCGAGGATGTGGATAGTGTTGGTATGGAAGGCTTCGGAGGTGTTAGTGGGTTCACAAGCACGGAAAGCACAGACAAGAGTGGGGCGGTTAGTGGGCAAGAAAGTGGCAGTCTCTTGGGTAAGCAAGTGGAGGGAAGGGATTCTGAAGAGGTTGTGGGTTTGAGGATTTCAGCCACGGATAGCATGACGTCTAGAGCCTCCCATGCTGAGCATAGTGCGATCGAAAATAGAGTTCATCCCCGCTGAGCTCACCTATATTATGTGTTTAATGACTTGTTAGTTCAATTTGTTACTTGTTAGGCCTTGGGTTCAGAGTGCAGGTTGTGCTGGTGTCAGATAAGATCAGATGTATCCATGAACGAATTGTACCTATGTATCAAATGATTGTGCTGAGATCATTCGCAGCACAAATACACCCACACCAGAATTACGCCTTTCCCGCCATAGTTCTTCCACTTTCATGCGACCGCTTCCATCGAGACTTCGAATTTCAAATTTTGAATTATTCAGCTCCTCCGCCCTTGCCTCCACCACAATGCTCGATTCCTTCATCCTTTACTCGACTCGACTCCACAACAATCACCTCCAACTTGTTGGGCTAAGTGCCCCTTAGGATCTTTGGTAGGGTTAAACTCTGGGTAGAGTGATGTAGTAGCGGAAGCGTTTAAATGAAGTCCTTGAACCACCTTGCGCTGGTATGTGAGGGCAAAGTAAGTTGATTAAAACAAACAAGTACAAAGGTTTATATAAGAGTACAAAGAATACGAAGAGATATAATTAAACTGTTTTACTGTTGCGGTTCGATACAGTGCGACTCGGGCAACTGCTCAATGTCGAGTCAGTTGTGTGTCCTTGCTGTCGCGCTGCATTTGTCAAGTCAAAGGTCGCTGACCTTTGACTTTCGCGTAACCTCCAGCGGTTACTTCAACCTCCGAGGGTTGACTCGCTGGTGCCTCGATATGCTCTGCTTCGCTTGTGCCTTGGTGTTTGTTCCCAACACTCCCCTTCGCTTCTGGAGTGTCGCTGCTGGTGACGTGGCTTTGTCCAGTCAGCAGCATGCAGTACTCGAACTTCTGTTTTCCGAGCTTCTTGGTCAAGTAGTCAGCTGCCATCTCGGACGTGGGACAGTAGGATAGTTCAAGTCTCCCCTTCTCAATCTCGTCTTTCACGAAGAAATATCGCAGAGCGATATGCTTCGTTCTGTTCGCGAATCCATTTTGTTGGCGATGCGAATTGCAGATTGGTTGTCGCAGAACAGAGTGAAGTTGGGTAACTCGGCTAACTTCGCTTCTTCCAGCAGCTCGCGAAGATATAGTCCTTCCTTGGTGGCTGAGCAGAGTGCAATATATTCTGCTTCAGCTGACGAGAGAGCAATTAATTCCTGCTTGCTCGATTGCCAGGAGATCGGTCCGATAGGTTCGAGGCGGTAGATGTAGCCGGTGCGGGAGCGCCTGTTGTCGGAGTCGCCAGCGTGATCAGCGTCGACGTAGCCGATTAATTTAGTCGGTGTAGTTGTGTTCTTGTAGTAAGTTAGGCCGATCGTTGAGGTACTGGCGAAGTAGTGGAGAGCGCGGTCGAGCTCCGCCAGGTGTTCTGCTTCAGGCTTCTTGAGGTAGGTGGCGAGCTGGCTTGCGGAGTATGAGAGGTCGGGGCGGCAGGTGACAGCTGCGAAGAGAAGGCATCCTAGCTTTCTCTGGTAGTCGCGTATCCCGGCGGATTTGAGTAGAGGGGATCCTTCCTTGTGGTTTCCTGTCGCGTAGCGGTAGGGCGTAGAGATGGTGGTAGGTGTGAGCGCGAAGCGTTTGGCGATGGTGTCGGCGTACTTAGCGGCGTTGAGGTAGATCGCGCCTTCTTCTTCCCGAATGTTCAAGCCGAGGTACTGTGTGACGGTAGAGGAGACCGTGAGTGTGAGGTCCCTCTGTAGCTCCCCTTCGAACCAGGTGGTGATGTCGTCAGTGGAGCCGATGTAGAGTAGGTCGTCTACGTAGACGATCAGCAGAATGTAGTCGGTGTCTTTAGTGAGTCGGTACATTCCTTGGTCGTGAGGTAGTTGGCGGAATCCGATGCGAATGAGGCGAGCGTGTAGGTACTGTTGCCATAGCCGCGGAGCTTGCTTGATCCCGTAAAGTGATTTCAGCAGTTGACAGACTTGGTTAGGTTCCCCGTTGGTACCGTGTGGGAGCTCGACGAAGATTTCCACGTCGACAGGTGCGTAGAGGAACGCGTTGGCGACATCGATTTGCCGTAGCTTCCTTTTCTTCATGGCGGCGATCGCGAGGAGGATTCGAAGTGAGGTATGTCGGCTAACCGGGGCGAATGTCTCGGTGAAGTCCCGTCCGTGCTCCTGATCGAATCCACGCACAACCCAGCGTGCTTTGAACTTCTCAATTGTGCCGTCTGCTTTTGTTTTAACGCGGAAGACCCATTTCCCGGTGAGAATGGTCTTGTTCCTTGCCACGCTGATGGGGACAACTTTCCAGGTGTTTCGTTCCTCCAGCGCCTTTAACTCTCTGTCCATGGCTTCACGCCATTTTTCCCTGTGTTCCCCCCCCAGAGCCTGCTGAACCGTCGCAGGCTCCTTAGGAAGAGTGTTGCCGTGGACTGCGGTGACGAGTCCGAGAATCTGCAGTCCAGTCTGTGAGTAGCGGGGAAGAGTTGCATCCTCGGGATAAGCTGCTTCATCTCCCGCTTCTGGATCAGGTATGAAATTCGGTCCTACTCGTTCTGCTTCGTTGGTGTTGACTGTCGCAGGTGTTACGTAACCGTTGTCGGCGAAGTAGTAGAAGGTTTCGGCGTTGACACTTTCGCGAGGGTTATCTTCGTCCATGGGGACGTCGACGGAGCAGAACGGAAGGGGTCCAGCTTCTTCTGATGCGTTGGCCACATTCTGCTCGTCCCAGTCAGCTTCGTCTGCTGCCGAGGCGAAGGCTCGGTCACCACGAAAACCACCTGTGGGATCTTGGTCCTCTTGCAGGTTGGCAAGGTATGTCTGGAGCGTGAGTCGTTCGTAGAAAATGACCCTCGCGATGAATACCAAAAGCCTTCCGGACTGAAGTCGGGGTCGAGATCCGGCGGGTGCGTCCAAGATGTGAAGGTGACGATCCCGTCACTGTCTGCGGTGCCCAGGTCTGGGACGAAATCGAGAACGAAGACATTGTTCTTCAGGACCGCCTTTCCGATGTAGAGGCCGCCCTTCCCGTGGTACAGCTTGAACTCCTGGGTAGTACTGTCGGCTTCCAGATGTATGCCTTTCGCCATCAACTGACTGACGCTCAGTAAGTTGTAGCCAAGTCCTTCTGCTATTAGGACTTTGGACATTTGCAGTATGACATTCGTCTCTCGTGACTGAAGTTGCACTACTCCTTGTCGTCGTGTGCGCAGGTTCTTATTATTGGCGACAGTGATGACGACTTCTCGTTGAAGTTGGTGCTCGCGTTGAACGAAACGTCCTGAAGAGCACATATGTTGTCCGCAGCAACTGTCCAAGAACCATGTATCCTTCCCGGACGGCTCGCTTTGAGCGATGGCGGCGTACGTCGGGTTCGGTTGAAGTGACTCGCGGCGAGGCGTGCTGTTGTCGAGTTGTTCTTCTGGTGAGTAATATGGTGGTGACTCAGTTACGCAGGAGTCACTCAGCCTTGCCATGCAGCTGACGATGTTTCTTGTTCCTTTCGCAGGTTGTCCCGTCGATGTTGTTGAGACTTGTACTGAAGTTGTCGGATTTGCTTGTGTTGAGGCGACTTGACTGCTTGAAGGGCGAAGTTGGCGTTGCGGCGACGTTGACTGTTGTCGATTCGGGCAGTGCGTACGAGGATGCCCTGAAGTCTTGCAGAGGTGGCAGAACGGAGGTACGATTTTCGGTCGATTGTTGTTGTTGTTGTGGCGCCGTTGAGTGTGAAATGCGAATTCGGGCACTGATACCTTTCTCTTGTGTCGTTCTTCTTGCAGGTCCATGTCTTGCTGCTCGGCGTGGATTTCGGCGCAAAGTGCTGCTTCAGAAATTTTCCCGTGGGCTCGTAGTATGGCGCGAGTGGAGCGCCAGTGAGGACCAAGACCGCCGATGACAACCGTGACGAAGGCGTCCTCTGAAATCGATCCTCCACATCGAAGAAGCTTGTCGCGCAGCTCGCGGCAGCGACTGATATACGCCATTCCCTTCTCGCCTGGTTTCATTTCGATTGTTGTCAGCTGCGCCATTAACCGACTTTGGTTTACGCTGTCTGTTGCTTGATACAGGCTCTTCAAGTGATTTTACGCGAGCTCCGCGGAGTTGCCGTAGCCTCGGTAAGACCGTATGTTTTGTTGTTGAGTTGGAGTGATGTTCCTCAGTAGTATCGTGTACGCCATCATCGATTGATAGGTGTACTGCTGCTTCTCATACTGTGTGCCGTTTGTTGGGTATGGCAGGGACCCGTCGAAGAAGCCAAGGATTTGCGCTCCTTCCATCATCAGCTCGAATTCGAACGACCAGGTAAAGAAATCCTTCCCGTCGAAGGGTTTTGTCGTTTGCAGTTTTAGAACGTGCGCGAACTGCGACTGAACTTGTAGTGCGTCCAGCGTTCTCTCTTGTCCCGGTGCAGGTTGTGGTTGTGGCATGAAGCTGACGGAGCCGCGCTGGGGCTCGTACGGAGCGAAGGTAGGTTGCTGTTGTTGATTCCCGCGTGTGTAGGATGAGCCATCGAGACTCATGGGCGTCACGTTGTTGTTGTTGTTGTTGCTGTTGTTTGATTGCGCAGGTGCTCCTTGCTGATGCTGCTCGTAGAAGGACATGAAGAAGAAGAACTTCTCCATCATGCTTGGATCGAAGCCCGCGCCTTGGTTTGCGGGTGTTTCAGTAGACCCAGCTGCCGGTCTCGTTGTTGTGCCTTCCTCTGTCTGTAGGCCAGAGGCAGGAGGTGGAGTAGGAGTAGTACCAGGAGAGCCGTTGGAGGAGCTCCTCTCCTTTCTGGTAGACATGTCTCTTGGTGTATTAGGTGTTAAGGAGAAATAATTTTAACCCTAACCAGCTCTCATACCATGTTGGGCTGAGTGCCCCTTAGGATCTTTGGTAGGGTTAAACTCTGGGTAGAGTGATGTAGTAGCGGAAGCGTTTAAATGAAGTCCTTGAACCACCTTGCGCTGGTATGTGAGGGCAAAGTAAGTTGATTAAAACAAGCAAGTACAAAGGTTTATATAAGAGTACAAAGAATACGAAGAGATATAATTAAACTGTTTTACTGTTGCGGTTCGATACAGTGCGACTCGGG